ACAGCACACGTCACTAAGCCACGTCTTTGTGTTTAGCTAGTTAGCTTGCTGCTAACGCTAGCTAACACTAGCCTATTGCCAGCATTGCCAGGTGGGAAATGTAGGATTATCGTACCAGAGACTCAAAATTATTGTTTTTTTTTGTTTTTTTTTTTAAAGATATTTTTCAGGCATTTTTAAGCCTTTAATTGATAGGACAGATGAGCGTGAAGGGGGGGAGAGAGAGAGGGAGTGACATGCAGCAAAGGGCCACAGGCTGCGGCAACAGCCTTGTACGTGGGGCGCCTGCTCTCCCATTAAGCCACCGACGCCCCGAAAAAAAATTATCGTATTGTGAGGGAAATTATCATACATCCATCAAAACCAAAATAACAATCCTATTGATGCACTATAGGCAAATGTAGTCACTCTAGTGTTTACTTTTTTGGTTTACTTTTTTTCCATTTTCCTTGCTTCTGTTTTTCCTCTTCTTCTTCTTCTGTTTTGAATCTCATTCTTGCTCAACTTCCTGACGGGGGGGCGGGTACAGCTGACCACTCAGCCAATCGTGCTCATTGTTCAGAGACAAACGTCCCCCGTATCTCACGCTAATCAAAGTGCGATTGGCTGGAAACATGTCACATGGGAACAGATGCCTTCAGGACTCACATAAAAACTCCGGCATACTGATTACAACCACACATTCATGAAATGGTCAAATTATTGTACATTTGGCCTTGTTTGGGATTATTGATCATACATCGTAAAGAGGGCCAAATTATCGTACAATACAATAATTATCGTACACCTGGCAACGCTGCCTAGTGCTCATGAGCGGATTATCATACGGGCAAACTGGGCATGTGTCCGGGGGCATGGAAGTGCCCAGGGGGCAGAGCCCAAAGGGCAACCAGTCAGGTAAATCATGGTTCTCCACAGTGACAGAACCCTGCCCAGCAGAGGAGAGAGTGGAGAAGTGGAGACAGTCAGTCAGAGAGACGGGGAGAGGAGAGGAGAGGAGAGGAGAGGAGAGGAGATGGGAGAGAGAGGACAGGTATGTGTCTGACTGTGTGTCTGACAGTACAGCCTACATTAGACATGTTATGTAAAAGCAAAAATGATCTACTGTGTCAACATTAAAATGGGAGATAAGTTTACATTGATTGGTCCATGTTGTTATTTGCAATGTTTTATAATTGGAAGGGAGAAGTGCAGACAGACAGACAGACACACACACACACAGACCGAGGAGAGGACAGGAGAGGAAAGAGAGAGGATAGGTATGTGTCTGACTGTGTGTCTGACAGTACAACCTACATTAGAGAAATGATTTACTGTGTCATCTTTAAAATGGGAGATTAGTTTACATTGATTGGTCCATGTTGTTATTTGCAACCTTCAGAAGGCAGAAGTGGAGACAGACAGACAGACAGACACAGAGACCCAGCAGAAGAGAGAGTGAAGAAGTGGAGACAGACAGACACAGAGACCCAGCTTTATCGAAACCATTAAAGAGGTGCTTGGCCCATTGAGAAGATTTACAGATGCACTGAGCGGAGAGCAACACCCCACTGTCTCTGCAGTCCAGCCACTTGTGTGGGAGATACAGTCATGTCTTACAGTCTCTGAATCTGACAGCAACCTGGGACGTGACATGAAAGAGAAATTAAGTACTGATCTACAAAACAGATACCAAGACCGGGAACTACAACAAGTATTAAACTGTGCCACATTTCTTGATCCTCGATTTAAAGATTCATTTGGTTCAACGGAACAGGAGGTCAAAGACATGCTGCTGGAGCAAGCACGTACTCTCCAGAACTCCAGAGAGACCACCCGACAACCTGAGGGAGATACAGAGCCAGAGAGCAGCAAACAAGCCATCAAACGGGCCAAGTCAGACATGGGAGGACTTCTTTTGAGCATCAAGTCAAAAAAGAAAAGAAGACAGCACTCAGATGTCAGTCGGTGAGACCTCTACGCTTGGACCCAGGGAAAAACTTCAGAATGAGATCGAAATCTATTGCAAAATGGAGGAGATTGGTGCTGAGGACAGCCCACTTAATTGGTGGAAACAGAACACAGGAACTTTTCCTCTGCTCTCATTGTGTGCAAGAAAATACTTATGCATTTCTGCATGGAGTTGCGCCTTAGAACGGGTGTTTAGCATCTCAGTGACAATGTGCAACCCAAAACAAGTTAGGTTGAGACAAGAAAACATGAATATGCTTGTTTTCCTGGCAAAAAACTTGCCTGAAATGAAGCGACGTAAACTGTAAAAGGACTGCTAATGCTGCTGAGTGGTTAACCCAAAGTTTACGTGCTGGTCTTGTGCCTTGTTTTCCTGTGGGGAGAAAAAGAAGAAAAAATGTAGCCTACCTGAAGTAGGGTTGAAGGCTGTTAACGCTCTTGCATCTGAGCTGCTGAGTATATCAGGTTAACCTATTTAAACATTTACATATGTGTGCCTTGTTTTCCTGAAGTGAAAGGAATTGAATTATAAAAGCACTTGTATTAGCTGAGCTGATGAATATAAGCACTGAAAGGGTTTTTTTTTCATAGCCTAAGCCTTCTAAGCCAGATTTGTTCAATAAGCTGCTACAGTGGTTTGGGTTTGTTTTCCAGTGACATTTATTTATTTATTTTTTGTACTTGTAGGCTAGATTTGTTGTTTTAATATGCTACAGTGCTTTGTTTCCACTGTATTTAAGTGCTACATTTGTTATGTTACAATGTGCTGCTGCAGTGGTTTGTTTTCCAGTGACATGTCAGGTATTAGCTGAGCTATTGAGTATCTTTAAGCAGTGAAAGTTATTATTTATTTCTTTTTACTTGTAGGCTAGATTTGTTTATATATGCTACAGTGACTTGTTTTCCACTGTATTTAAGTGTTAAATAAGTTAACAGACAAGACTGGTGTGGGGTCTCTTCATTTTTACTGCAAATAGTTATAATTACATGTTAATCACTTATTGATGCTGTTTTTGAAGTATGAATAAGTCAATAAGTAATTTATTCCATTGAAATATCATTGACGTATTATAGAAAAGTGATTTATCTTTTTATAAATGACAAAAGGCACATCTGCTTCATTTTTGCTGTGGTATCGTGATACTATTCAGAGCCGTGATACTTTCACTGGTATCGTACCGTGGGTCCCAATTTTGGTACCGTGACAACGCTACTGTGAATGTAACTTTATCTTCATTTTGTGTTACATTCTGGTAGCCCACCCAGTATCATGGCTATGGTCAGCCCATCACTCAAAGTTTCACCTGCATCTCTCAGAGCAATAATGGTGTTCTCTCCCCTTATCAGATAGTCAGTGACCCCCCACACAGGAAGCAGCAACGTGGAAGAGCAAGACAGGACCAGATGAGAGGACAGATGACTACAAGACCAGATGAGAAGGACGGATGACTACAGGATGATGGGCGCCTTTGGTCAGTGGGCTCAGTAAGTAATCCCCTCACTAAGACTTCAAAGTACCATAGTGACACAAAGTTGTACTCAGATAACGTTAACTTTACATATGTGATTTATTTTTTATTACAGGAGCCTTCTTAATATCGTTCCATGTATAGTCAAGTTCAAAAGTGTTCATTACTTGTGTTTCTGTTTTATAGGACAAGACTCCTCTGAGGTTTTGGCACTCCTGGAGCAGCTGAGAGTGGACGTCAGTCATCCCAGGAAGACCCAGCGCCATGGCAGATCACTGAACCACTCTCAGCTCTCGAGTGAGTCCAGGACGCCCCTCCACCCTGACCCAGGACACCACCCTCTTCATCCACCGGAGGAAACAATGAGGAGTGCCCCGTCCCTACCAGCTCAGAGGACGCTGTTAATGTCTGCTTCTTCTGTGCTGGTGGATTCTTGGCGCTCCTCACACGCATGCACAAACACACACAGGAAGCTGTCAGCGCCTTTTTGAATCTGACCGGTGTGTACAACTCTGTGTATATTGTAAAGTAGCTCTGCTTACAGTATGGCGTACATAAGTGTTCAGGTTTATGTGGATTTACACAGAGTGATGTTCACTATTGTTATGGAGTACAGGAAGTAGAGAAGATATTAAATGATGAGGCAGTTGTTAGAAGATGATGGATTTGATGTCTCGTCACAGTGGAACTGTCACAAACAGAAAAGGACACAAATAATACATCACTGAAAAACGTAAGTGAGAGTCTATAAAAATAAATGTAACTATGAATCATTTAAATATAATACAGACATGTAGGACACATATACACACATGTATGATATGATATTACAGTTAAAGTATTCAGGTTTAACATTGATGCATTTTACATTTATTCGGTGTACTTGAATAAAGACAGTGTTCACTGCATCATTTTAGATTGTATTCCCACAAAGCTTTAAGTTAACAGACCTCAGTACCCCAACAGAAGCTGTTGTTCAACTGCTGTGGGTCAGTGTCTAACACTGTTGTTGGAGCCATAATGTTGTTTTTGTTAGTTTTTTATTCTTATCTAAACACAAGGTAAATATAAATATAAAAAGCTAGTACAAATGTAGTCAAGAAATACACATTTTCACTGAACGTAACATCAAATATTTTGCTTTTTGTCAGTTAAAAAAAAGACACCAAACATTCAAATCTGCTTGGACCCCGATAAACGCCGCTTGCAGCTTTAATTGAACGTGAAACTGCTCTAATACTGTTTTTTCCCATTTAAATTACCGTGTCTGTTTGTTAGGTAGAGACCTCTGGATAACTTGCTTGCAGTCAAAATAATAAATAAATAAATAACCCTCAATATCTGGATCAGAAAAAAGACAGTACAAAGACACATTAGCAGGGGCTGGGTGAGAGCGCCGTCTGTGATGTGCCAAACAGCTTAGGAGAAACACTGATTGCTAAAGCCCTATAAATCTAACACATGGTTCAATTTATAAGGTTTAATAATTTTGAAATACCTACTAATTTCACCTCCAAGCTCAAATCTTCCAGGAAATCCATCAATAAAGATACAAATAGTTTAAACAAATGAAGTCTCCAGTGTGTTTGTTCAAGCTTTATTTCAACAGAGAAAGATATCAGAGTTACAGTGAGTTGAGTGGGTTTGTTTACTTGTCTGAAGAGTGTTGAGGTTTTTCAGTAAAGACACTCCAAAAATGAGAATTTAAACAATTTTATTCAGACATATCTACAAAAAACGATGTATCAACATACAACACAGACATAAAAAATCATAACAGGGTGACCCCTCACACATTCAGACCAGAGTCGTTTTGACCCCACAGTTGTATTTCTCAAAAGCTTTTTGTATCAGCAAAAAGCTCAGTGTAGAAAACAGTGTGTGTGTGATGACATCTTCAGCCGCCATCTAGTGTTTCACACATTTTTCAGTGTCTCTGCCTTGAGACCAGCGGCTGCTGTGTGACAGTAACACTCCAGCTGATGTTTCATTGATTGTATGGCACCTCACATTTCCTTTACAAACATATTCAGCACCTTCTGATGCTTTGAGGCTTCCAGCTGATGTCTGAGAGCAAAACTAAAAGGTCAACATGAGTGGGACATGACTGAAAATTGTCCAGAGCTGCATTATGTCCATTGTGGGTCAGGATTCGGCTGGTGAGGGCTGGCTCGGTGCTCCGTTGCGGGTGCGGAGTTGAGACTGAGCAATGTCAGCCAGCGCGCTCTGGATCTTCTCCAGCAGCATATCCCCGCGGTAAACCACCTCCTCCAGACGGGCTGCTGCCTCATGGTTCTCCTCCTCCAGCTGCCGCAGACTGGCCGCCTGACAAGAGGTCACAGCCAATCAGATTCAATGTAAGGATACATGGATAAACAAGAAAACATAACTGGCTTAAAGGATGGTTAACCCAAAGAAGAAAAAAAGCCTCCTAAAAATGTTTTAGAGGCAGTATCTCATTTCAGAACATGAAAATGAAACTGTAGGGCCAGATACGTGACAGCCCCAGGCACAAGTCATTGTCTTTTACATTGGCCAAACCAATACATACCCTGTCAAGGTATATTGCAAAACCATTAGATCTACATTGGCTTTACATGTTAGTTATTGGTTTGAACAAAAATTGTGAATTTATAATGTCTCCATTAAAGAGGATGAGATATTACAGTTTCATGGTTGTAAGGCTGTTGAATTATGGCATTAAAATCTTATAGGCCGTAAGACATTTAAACATTTTGACATGTCACATTAGGAAGAGCACAAACATAGATCATAAAATAAATGATTGCGAAATTCTGTTTAGCTAAAACTTTATAAAACTTTGTTCCAACAATCACTGACTCTGGTTTGGTTGAAATAAACCTTTAATTCATTCAGTTACATATGAAAATATACTGGCTGTGCACACGCTAAAATTGTTGTATATTTAAATGTAGTCTGGTGACTCTGGCAATAGCAATTTTAGGGCTGTTTCTGGTTAAACAAAGGGTTTTCCTACTCTTTAACAAAAGGTCAGTCTCTGTACGGATCATTTTCTAATGTTGTCAGACACTTAGAATAATAATCTGTGCCTGTCAGTGGCAAAAGCAGGCATGTTTAGTGGACATAAATTGACAGTGCATAACTACCCAACTGGTTACACTGCAGCCTGGTTTGCTGCTGCCAGCTGCAGACCTCCCACTCATTACTGGACCAGTTTCAAAAATGATTGTTCCTATTACTCACTTAGAGTCTGTGTATTTTAGCTGCTGAAGACTCTAGTTGGTCTAACTTGGTCTAACTATCATTGAGTTCAAGAGTTCAAGAAATCAAGAGTTTCATCAAAAATATCGTTCCAGTATCAGCAACGCAATCAACACAGAAATAGCAGCAACCCTTCCTCTCTATTTCCACTTATGAGAAGATAATGAATTTACTTAAAAAGCCATTCATAAAAACTCACTGACCCTGAAAAAGGTAAGAAATGTTGGATCTGAATTTCAAAGGTAAATGCAGTACATTTTCAGTATGTGCACTGATCTGAGTCTCTTTAAATGACCAAACCTCAAACTATATGTAGTACGTAACTGATAAACGAGTGTGCATGTGTCAAAAATTAAAAAATGTTTATTCAAGAGTTTATTAGCAGCATTTAGGCTTCTCACGGTTAATAACCAGAGGAGTGGCCTGAAAACTGACTGCAATCATTTGGTTATTTGTTTTATACCATAAGCAGACATCATTTTCTTTGTCAGAGTCTTGAGCTGTCAGTGTAGACAGCAGCTGTACAAGCATTCACCTGGCTCCCTCTGCTGACCAGTAGCTAGAAGTACTAAGTGGGATTTTGGATTTGTTTATCATGGAATCTGCATGTCTGCAAGTGCTTATGAAGGCGCCAACCTGCAGAGCTGCTGTGGACTCCTCACTGGGCAGAGAGTCTATTAATACATCCACATCTTTGGCTGTTCTGGCGATCAGGGCTGCAAACAGCTGGGCATACTCTGAAGAGATTAAAAAAATGTCAATGTCATCCTCATGTTGAACAAATCATGTTTCTCCATCCTGTAAGTCATTAGCAAACTGATAAGACTGGTAACATTGAGGAGAGAGAGATATATGTAGGAAGAAGACAGTGTGGAATAAAAATGTGTTGCAAATGGTGTCAGTGACTGGTCAGTAACAGTTTGTTATGTGTTGTGGATTAGTCACATCTGGCAACACACGATCAATGTGTTAATTAATATGATCATTAATGGATTGGCACATCAATAATGTAAACCAGGGAGTGATGAGAGACGAGATCAGTAGGAGAGGAGTAAACAAAGGAGCAACAAAAGTAAAGTAACAAAGACATAGATTACCTTCGGTTGGGTTTGCTGGCTGATCTCTGTTGATAGCTGTTTGGATGTTACTGAAGGAGGCAGGAGGCGCACATTGTTGCAGGACGCCGATTGCATTGCAAAACTGATCTGCAAGCTGGACATACAAAACAACATCGATTGGATTACACTTTCTTTCAAGCAGGGAGATATGAAAGCTGTCAGTCAGCCACTCGTTTGCGACTCAGCATTCTTAGTACCTAGACTTAATAATAAATATGAGTTACTTTGAGGTTCTAATGTGTTATCTCTACAATACTGTAGCAAATGTTTCTGTGTGAAATTTAACATTAAGCTAGACTTGTTCATAGTAACGTTTCAGGCCCCTGGTCGTTAGCTACACAGTGATATAGCTAGGTTGACAAATAACTGAAAAAAAGGGGTACTGCTTAGCAACCACCTTTACGTTGTATAACCAGTCAAAATACAGTGATTTGTCACTTTTTTGTCGTCTAAAAACTCCTAAATTGCCTTACCGAATTGACAGCGTCTTGAAGTTGAGTTAGCCTGTCCGCCATCTTTTCTGTATTATAATAAAATCCCGCTGCATTGTCGCGAGAATTTTCTGACATTAAAACATATCGCGAGATGTGGACGTTATTTGGAAGCTTTGGTTAGCACATTATCGTATAGGTTAGCTGTAGCCACTTAAGTCATCTCAAGGCTAACTTTACAGCAAACGTTTGTTTAAATTAAGTTAACAGTTCGTGTCTACTGACATCTCCGTGTGTTTTAAAACGTAATAGTGCTGCACCAGAACCTCTACTTGTTGCTCCTGGATGGAGACTAATGTTAGCCTGTAGCTAATATTAGCTACTAAACATCAACAGGAAGTAACAGACTAGCTAAACACAAATGTCTTGCACTGTGAGCTCTCCAGGTAAGATATTTTCTTCTTTAATCAATTTTCTAACTTTAGTTAGGAAGAACTATTTTAAATGCAAGTCTACCAGTTAGAAAATGTTTGTAATATGAGCCCTAAATGCATGACAGTTTGTGTGGGTAGCAAGTCAGCTAATAAGTTAGCAAGGACTATTAGTTGTGCTGCTGATAATATGTTATTCCTAGTCAGTTAACGTTAACTGAAGCAGAAAAATAGTGTGCGTGCCTGATTCCGCATTAACTACAGCTAAGATAAATGTGGCGCACCAGTAACTAAATTTGTCACTTACAACATGGTAATGTTAGCTTGAGCTAATTAGCTGACACAGCAGCTGTCATCCAAGGTGGGACGAGAAGAAGAAAGGCAGGGTTAGCAACGAGCTAAATTCATGGTGCTTTATATTTTATGTCTTTTATTTTATTGTAGTCGGTGTCTTGTGCAGTTAATGTTAGTTTTATTTACTTAATGTAGTTACACATGGGGAGCATCAGTTTTTGTTAGTATGACCCCTCACCTGAGGTGGGGAGGTACAAATGATGTCATGAATAGGTTGAGAAGACATAATTTGCTTTATCTGGCCCAATTTATTGCCCCAGATAATAATCTGATAAAAATGCAAAGTACAGACTTGTAAAAGGCAATAATGAGGGCTTGGCAAGTGATATTCAAATTTCACAATATATTTATATTACTGTACAGTACCATACCACACCATATTATATCTGATATCCTGTTTAAATGTTATACTATATTATGCTATACTATACTAGTATCAGTATATGATACTGTACAATGTTATTATGTTTAATATTGTTATCATTATTATTACCTTATATTAGCCTGTATGTTATACCTCAAACAATACAAAACTGTCCTATATCATGCTATAGAGTTAATACTATCTTACTCATCATATGCTGTATTTTAATTCTATTTTTGCTATATTGATATAGACAACACACTAAGTATGATTACTTAATCACAGTATATATTATTCTAGTGTATGGTGTAGACTCGCTGCCATTATTCATATGGTGTCACCTTAACTCATAACTTTGTCTTTCATCTGTCTGTCATTTTTTACTTATACTCTTATGCTAGTTCTGTATACAGTACAGGCCAAAAGTTTGGACACACCTTCTCATTCAATGCGTTTTCTTTATTTTCATGACTATTTACATTGTAGATTCTCACTGAAGGCATCAAAACTATGAATGAACACATGTGGAGTTATGTACTTAACAAAAAAAGGTGAAATAACTGAAAACATGTTTTATATTCTAGTTTCTTCAAAATAGCCACCCTTTGCTCTGATTACTGCTTTGCACACTCTTGGCATCCTCTCGATGAACTTCAAGAGGTAGTCACCTGAAATGGTTTCCACTTCACAGGTGTGCCTTATCAGGGTTAATTAGTGGAATTTCTTGCTTTATCAATGGGGTTGGGACCATCAGTTGTGTTGTGCAGAAGTCAGGTTAATACACAGCCGACAGCCCTATTGGACAACTGTTAAAATTCATATTATGGCAAGAACCAATCAGCTAACTAAAGAAAAAGGAGTGGCCATCATTACTTTAAGAAATGAAGGTCAGTCAGTCCGGAAAATTGCAAAAACTTTAAATGTGTCCCCAAGTGGAGTCGCAAAAACCATCAAGCGCTACAACGAAAACTGGCACACATGAGGACCGACCCAGGAAAGGAAGACCAAGAGTCACCTCTGCTTCTGAGGATAAGTTCATCCGAGTCACCAGCCTCAGAAATCGCAAGTTAACAGCAGCTCAGATCAGAGACCAGATGAATGCCACACAGAGTTCTAGCAGCAGACCCATCTCTAGAACAACTGTTAAGAGGAGACTGCGCCAATCAGGCCTTCATGGTCAAATAGCTGCTAGGAAACCACTGCTAAGGAGAGGCAACAAGCAGAAGAGATTTGTTTGGGCCAAGAAACACAAGGAATGGACATTAGACCAGTGGAAATCTGTGCTTTGGTCTGATGAGTCCAAATTTGAGATCTTTGGTTCCAACCGCCGTGTCTTTGTGAGACGCAGAAAAGGTGAACGGATGGATTCCACATGCCTGGTTCCCACTGTGAAGCATGGAGGAGGAGGTGTGATGGTGTGGGGGTGTTTTGCTGGTGACACTGTTGGGGATTTATTCAAAATTGAAGGCACACTGAACCAGCATGGCTACCACAGCATCCTGCAGCGACATGCCATCCCATCCGGTTTGCCTTTAGTTGGACCATCATTTATTTTTCAACAGGACAATGACCCCAAACACACCTCCAGGCTGTGTAAGGGCTATTTGACCAAGAAGGAGAGTGATGGAGTGCTGCGGCAGATGACCTGGCCTCCACAGTCACCGGACCTGAACCCAATCGAGATGGTTTGGGGTGAGCTGGACCGCAGGGTGAAGGCAAAGGGGCCAACAAGTGCTAAACACCTCTGGGAACTCCTTCAAGACTGTTGGAAAACCATTTCAGGTGACTACCTCTTGAAGCTCATGGAGAGAATGCCAAGAGTGTGCAAAGCAGTAATCAGAGCAAAGGGTGGCTATTTTGAAGAAACTAGAATATAAAACATGTTTTCAGTTATTTCACCTTTTTTTGTTAAGTACATAACTCCACATGTGTTCATTCATAGTTTTGATGCCTTCAGTGAGAATCTACAATGTAAATAGTCATGAAAATAAAGAAAACGCATTGAATGAGAAGGTGTGTCCAAACTTTTGGCCTGTACTGTACCTCCTGGTTTATTCATTCTTATTCTTATTTTTTACCTCTGTATTTCTACTTATTTATGTATTTGTGCTGTCGCAACATCTGAGTTTACCCTCTGAAGATCAATTAAGACTGATATTATGTTATATTATATTGTATTACATTCAAGTTAATGTTTCCCTTACGTGATATGGCCCATTTACTTGCAAGAACTTTGAACCAGTCATCAGGTAGAGGCATTCACTGTCATTAGCCCAGCTTTTACAACACAGTTTAAGATTTTATTGATTACTTATCATAGGCTTACCTGGTATTTATTACACTGAAATATCTCCCATCTCTAAATTGTAGAGATGCTCCAATACCATTTTTTCTTTCCCGATATCAATTCTGATACCTTAACTTGCATAGAGGCTGATACAGTGTACTGATCCATACCCATTCTAGAAGCTAAATAACAAAAGACAAAGTAGAGGCCAGTTAAAGTAAGTTTCTCGACCATAGAGTTCCGGAGATATTTTAAAAGTAGTAAATAGAGTACTTTAATCTCTCATCATCAACTTCATTGAAGTTTATAATAAATTCCATGGTATCAGACTGGTGCAGCAATCCAGTCCAGCTTTTTAGGCAGTACCAGAGGCATGTCCAAAGCTGTTATTGGTATCGAAACAACTCTACTAAATTTCAACATTGTCTAATTATAAATTGAGGAATCTACTCTTCTCTATCAAAATTACAATGCTGTAGTCATTAAATCTTCATAGTTCCCTTGTAATTATGACTTATATTTCCTCAGGCATGAACTGTACCTTAGAGAAGGTCCTGGCAGATGCCAAATCTTTAGTGGAGAGGCTTCGTAACCATGACAACGCTGCAGAGATGTTAATTGAACAGACAACATCACTCAACAAGCGAGTGGAGGCCATGCAACAGGTATGGTGTCACAATATGATGCTGCCACTTAAATATGAATGTTCTGTTTATAGATGCTTCAATACATGGAGAGAGATGTTTTTTTGTTGGCAGTACCAGGAAGAGATTGACTCATTAAACCAAGTAGCCCGACATCGTCCTCGTTCTAGTCTGGTCCTGGGAATCCAACAGGAAAACCGTCAGATCAGAGAACTCCAGCAGGAAAATAAAGGTAGGCAGTTAATTTGTTACTCTTATTATGGGATGGCTGCTTTGTGGTCCGTTTGTAGGAAAACATGACGAAGAAAATAGATACTTTTTTTAATTAATCATGCAGTTTTTGGAGTGGACTCCTGTTGGTCACAACCACATGGAGGTTTGGTTGTTAATCACAGCAAGGTAACATGAAGCTGACAGATGTTCTTGTAGAGGTTTTCTGCAGCATTGTTCTCTGTGTTCACTCTCCCTGCAGAGCTACGGACATCGTTAGAGGAACACCAGTCTGCGTTAGAGCTCATCATGACCAAATACAGGGAACAAGTGTTCAGGCTCCTCATGGCCAGCAAGAGGGACGACCCTGCTATCGTGACCCAGCTGAAGGAGCAGCACACCACGGTCAGTGAGGCTCACTTGTTACTTCAGTTGCCTGGTAATTTTGGGAATATTAGGTATACATGTACATTTTTTTACCTCAGTCGATTGTAAACTATTTTTAAATATTTTTGTTATGTATGTACGCGCTTTCCCAACTCTACTGCCTTTTATTTCTATTTTTGTTTTTCATCTTTTGTAGGAAATGCAAGCACACATAGACAAGATCAACGAGATGGCCTCTGTGATGAGGAAGGCCATAGAGGTGGACGAGGGACGAATATGTGAAGACGAGGAGAGGATTAAACAGCTAGAGGTAAAAGAAAATGTCCTACTTTGTTCCACACACACTTCCAAAGGTTGTCCAAATAAAATTATGCTGGAAGTACTAGGCACTGAAATTGATAGAAAATCCTAAGCAGCTCCTTTTTTGACCGACATATGTTGGTTCTGGCCAGCTAACTTGACACATGGAAGTCCAGAGAAAGTTGGCAGCTTTAGTAGCAGTAAGAAAGCTAACTGAGAGAACATGAAATTGTGAGCAATGTGTGACCAAAACCATCAACAGGCAGCACAGATTAAAATCACAGAGGCCCCTTCATTCCAGATATACAGTAGTAAGATCAGCATGTATGGAAATCGTGCCGTCACCATCAACTTAAACCAGACCATAGATGTACTGTGCGTGTAACATTATTAGTGCGTAATTTGGATGGTGTATGTGGTGATGTGACTGATTTGAAGCCACCAACATGCAAATGTTCCTGATTTAGCATTCCATGAAAAGCCAGGTACACATTTGTAGTGATAGTACTGTAGTAGTAGCAGTATTTCATCTGAATGTATGGCTGTACATTCCTGTTTCTGTATTCTAGCTGGAGAACACTGGACTCCGAGAGCTACTGGGAATCAGTCGGGAGGCTTTCCTGGTTCTGAAGAGAGAGGACGCATCAGAGAGCACATCACTGTCGCCATTGCTGACCAGCGCCGAAGGCAGCTTACGGAAGAGTTAGAGAGCCTGTGGTGACACCCCTCCCCCCCACACCTCCTCCCTGCTGCTGCCACTACTGTGTACAGTCTATTGCCACACACCACGTCATCTCTCACCCTACAGATCCTCTCAACGATCCTCTCCCTTCTCCTGGAGCATTTACAGCATGATGCTGCAGAGCTGCATCCCCGTCTGGTGATTCAGACACAAGCAGTGTGAACACACATCTTTGTCTTTTTTTTCCGTTGGTACTTACATTATGATTGCTAATTTTGCCAGCATGCATGAGTCTGTGATGCCTGCAAGGTTTTAATGTGTGAATGGGTAAAAGAACGGCTTGAGTTATAATAAATCTGTAAACATGAGATTGTCTCTGCTGGATTGATGTGGATCTTATTTTACTTTGAAACCATGTTCTTGGTTCTGCTTGGTGGTCTGTGTGGGCATTTTCTCAATTTCACTATCCATGTTGTCATAGCGTATTGTCATCGGCAGCTTTAAAGCAGGAATAGAAACATTATTCAACATACAGGATCTGGTGTAATATCCAACTTCCCCCTTTTGCTGCAGAACTGCAACAAAGCAGAGGAGTAATGTTGAAAAGCTGTCCTCCAACATGGTTTGTATATCAGTAACAGCAGAATATTTATTTAACTGTAACTAATCAAGAACAGTAACCTTTTTAACTACTTTTAAACAATTTTGGTGCACATAAAAAGGTGTGTAAAATGGGTTCCTGATGGCTCCACAAATAGCAATAGCAACTATAAACCCACTTGAATGTCTCATAAAGTTGCTGTACAGTGTACCACTGCTGCCCCCCACAAAACCCTCTAGTGGTGGTGCTTCCACCTACTGTATGGGCTTCTTTGCCCCATAGAGTCTAGGATCACCACTGCAAAGAGCTCCCTCTCTGCCACTATTATTTCCAATATCCACAAACATCATTTTGAAGCCTTTATCAAGTTTTATTTGAGCTTGCCCTTGGTGATGTAATGTTATCATATAAGACAACCCACCAGTTATGACTAGACATAAAAAAATGATCTAAATCAAGTAAGAGGCTCCTAGAAATGTCTATTATCCATCACATGTTTTTGCTCATTAGCTATTCATCTCTGGCTGGAGAGGGAGGAGGAGCTATCGCGGGATCTAGGGCGAGATTCTCGCGGAGGCATCGTTCAGCCGTCAGAGCGGCAGGAGAGGGCTGTCCTGCCGAGTCTCTATGTCCAAACAAGCATGTCGCTTTTTCGTTTGCAGGGACTCCTACTACCCAAACACAGGAGAATGCGAGGTTACCAATGATTTTTAGTGACCAGCATACAGAAGTGTGTTGAAGCCGAGGGAAATGCGTCGTTGGATTTGGTGCCCGCTCCTCCTCCTGCTGCTGCTGCTGCTGCTGCTTCTCCTGGGTTGTGAAGTTCAAGCTCAAGAGGAAAGTGAGTTATCGTACCAGAGACAGCAGTTATCTTTACTTGCGTTTTCAGCGACGTTATTTATCTGTCTCAATCTTTAACTCGATAGGTATGGGGTTATATATTAGCTAACCGTGCAGAACAGTTAAAAGGCCGCTTTGTGGCTTTTTAATACTGAATGTAAATCACAGGAGTGTCACCAGGCTTAACTTGTTACTGTTGGTGGTTTTAGCTAACGTTAGCTAGCTGTTAATATCATATTTTCTCACAAACAGATTCTGGGTCCAATGTTTATTTAGTACAGTTAATATATCTCAACCCCTCAAACCTCTTATAGTGGACTTAATTCAGTTATGTATGGGGTTTGAGAAAAGGCTTTCTGTTTTACATGTTTAAAGGATAATGTAAGGATTTGTGGTCATCACAGAGCAATGCTAACAAAAACTGTTTTCAATATCCTCTTAATATTCATATAGGGATGTTAGCTGAATATCACAGCTTTGGAATCACAGTCAGACAGTATCCTACTGACATGTATTACAGTATAACAACAGTGGCACCCCATGAGATGTTGGCAAAATTCAGCATGTGAAAACAGATGTGATTTATCTGCTTAAAGTAAAAAAGAAAACTCAGAGTTCATCTAACACTGTCAAACTTTTGAGACCTTTGAATCCAAACAAATGGTGGGTGTTGTGAGAAAAAAGGGTAGTGAAAACAAGCACAGTCACAGTATTTACTCTGACAGGTAAATAAACTCTATACTGGATAAGTACACAGCAGTAACAAGTTGAGATGAAATAAGATGACTTGACACTTTGCCATCTCTGTTGTAGTTTGACAACTTGTGGAAGTCACAGATTGCAGCTTCAGGGCTCAAGTAACAAGTGAATTATGTCCATATTAAATTATTTCGAATTTGATTAAGTATTCAGTGTTTCTACTTTTTCATTTTGTCAGGGTGGAAAAGCCTCTGAAATAGCATTTAGCCCCTTGTGGGACACCAAACTCTCCGTTGGAACTAAAGAAATATTTTTAGCAGCTCCTAAAAGCACCAAATACAACCATTCAAGAAAGAAATGTAATATGACTAGCTTTGAATAAGGCATGAAGTTATGAGAAAAACCTCAACAGTTGAAAGAATGAGTAAAATGAGCAAAGTAGTCAGATCTGAGTGGAATCTTTAGGGTGTTCGCGGTGCACATTATACAGTAGAATATCTCATATTTAATATTTTTATTTATAGTAAAGGAACATACATTTTTATTATAAAGTACACGAGAGACATTTAGATGCTATTTTCCTTCCTGATACCAATTCCAATACCTGAACATGAGTGTCAGCTGATACCAGGTACCGATCTGATGCCGTTGCATTTAAATAAAATTAACAGCTGTACACTACTGACCCTGTCTGGATGTGAAATATTGCCTTTATTGTTGTATGGCATGACTCATAACTCTTTTATAAAACATGATGGTGGTGACCAGTGCCACCCCTCAAAACTAAACCCTTGCAAACTGTACACATTGCCTCTTTAATGGTGGGGCTTTTTGGTGTAAAATGTTGCCACATTGCTGACATTTTGCTGACAGCTAACATTTAATCTATTGTTCTTTGCTGCTCTAAAACGCGCTGTGCAGGGTACTGTTTTAAAACAGTGAAGAAGAATTGATTTCTGGGAAAACTGCTGTTTTATTCAGATGTGAAACTGCTTCAAAATTAATGAAATCATGTGGTGTCAGATCTGTGCATAGACTCACATACTCAGTCTAGGAAAGGCAGTTTCAGAGGCATTTCTGATACCAGTATCGGTATCAGAACAACTGTAAAATAAAGTCAGGTATATATCCTGGAGTATGGTTTCTACATCACACAAGCCCTCTCTGTCTCACTCTGTCCCTTTGGCTCACGTGTCAAAAAAAATCAAGGCAGCAGGTCACTCCTGAGCTGGAGTCTGACCTGCAAACAGTCAGTATGGATAAGGCAGCACGTGTGACCTGCAACAAATCTACACAGCTTTAGTTTTCATACTTGACATTCTTCCATTTTGTATGAGAGACAAACAAGTGGCAACAAGCATACAAATACCATAAGACCATGCATGCATGTGATTCAAGCCATGTAGCGCTCAGTATTATATTGCTGAAAATGTTTTTGTTTAAGTCTTCAGACAAGTACTTAAATTAAGTACTAATGAAGTGTGAATCTGATAGAAGTCGATGGTTACAGGCAGTGGCACATGTAAAATTGGGTTCCAGCTATTTCAAAAAGGTTGTAGGTCATGTTATGCAAGTGCTGTGCACATTGCAAGTAGGGACGAGCAACATTAGAAGCAGCTATCAGCAGACACTTCCTCAAATTTTGAGGCTCACTAAAATCAATCAGATAAAGTTCACTCTCACAGTCACACATTGAGTTGAAGACTAGCAGTGCAGGTAGGGCTGAGGACTACATGTTCCAGAGTTCTGTTTAAGTTGCTTCGGTGAACTGTAATGTTTACTTTGGACAGATGATTTAGAACGACATTGTCAGTTAAATACCTACTGCAGAACTGCTTGCCATAGTTTTTTTTTTTTTTTTAATGTATTGGTCAAACGACACATGCTTCTCAGATCTAACCTCGTTGCTGTTGCAGTGTGATCATCTGAAGTGGTCATGGTATCACACAGCACATCAAGATTCAGTGCTTTTCTGCACATTCCACTCAGGCAGATAGTTAATGGTCACTTAAGAGTTAATGCATCCATAGTTGATCAATTATTACTGTTTTATTTGCATAGAGAAAAAAAAGCAGTGGCATAAACCCATGATCAGAGGATAATGTGCGCAGGTTTTCAGATAAAAGTTGAGAAATAACTTTCATTTGATCATTTAAATTGAATCTTACAGTTGTTTTGTAATTTGTATTTAGTGATTTTGACTTTTAGCTAACAAGAAATAGTCAGCTGACATGTTTCCTGTTACTCTAGTAGCTTTTAAAGATAAATCAGGTAAAATAATTGTAGCCCACAGCAAAATGGAGGTTGAGGATGTTTATACTGCGGTGATTTCTTTCAAGCACTCAAACAAATGGTAGCATGCTTCAGTGTTTCAGTATAGTAGCTCATCATTGCTCAACACAGAGTGTACTTCTTCATTCAGCCTTTTCTGGGAGATCCCTCCTTGATGTGCTGCTGACCTGGTTTTAGGTCACCTACTTGGCTTAGCACCAATTGTAGAAGCTGCTGTCTCTGATGTCAGGCTGTTTACAGTTTACTCTACGTTGCCTGGTGTCCACCACAGTCAGTGGTTGTTGTTCTCCACCTCAACTTACATTGACTGAAACAAGAAAACAAACTTTATGTGTTTAAATTTATGTACATCCATAAGCTGAGTAGTGATGTGATCGTGCTCTTGTGAACTTGGAGGAAAAGACAGAACTAATTACTTGACTATCCCAATAATTTTATAGCATTAAATACTTGTTATCTCACCTTGTAATATTTGTGGTCAAAAAATCACAACTTTTATACAGAGCACACTGTATCTTATCTTACCTGAGCCTGTCTGGCTCAGGGTATATGGGGACACTGTGGCAGATCAGTTTATAAGCAGCACACTACAATCAATCTATTGCAATAAAATCATGTGATCAATCAGACTTTTCCTTCTCCGTCACAGACCGGGTGGTTTTCCTTCCGGGAACGTTCCAGAACGTGAGCCTCTCCCAGAATGAGACGGTGCAGGCAGTGGTGTCCAGGATCCCCGCGGAGGTCGCCTTCATTACTCTGCAGTTCCACACGCAGCACCGCAATGCCACTCTCTCCTACACCAGGGTGAGAAAGCGCTGACGTACACTTTTCTTCAGCTTTGACTATTGCAGTCACATTCTAATATGGCTCCAAAATTCTAAAATATTGACAGCCGAAAAATGCCAAACTCCATAAACCAATGAACGACATGGTAGCTATGGCCATTATTTCTTACAGTCAATGTACAGGACATATTCTCTTCATCTTTAAGATGAATGGTTGCATGTTTCTCCCCAGATTTCTGAGTTGCTGTAGGTAAATATTTATTTATTTTTAGGTCGGGTTGCAAAATTAACCCTATCCAGTAGCCTAATCCCGGTGGATTTGCTTAACTCACCAGCCAAAGGCAATGGCTGGTAAAATTTGAACATTTGCTCGCCATTTGGCTGCCCAAATGTTAATTGTTAAGTTAATTTTGCACTCTGCTTAATGGACTGTAGCAATGAACCTGAAAGTTGGCAGAAAAAAAATGGTTAAAATGTGATGAGAATCATGGTATCAGTCAGCTGATGTGCAGCTCATTGTTTCCAGTCTTGTTACCTGTAGCTTTGCATTTGCCACCGCTGGTCTTGCTGACGTGTTCTTCATGGTACAGATAACTGAGCATGACACTAAAAGTGGCATCTGAAGATATATGGAATAGAGGCAGTAGAGGCCATTCGCAGGATGAAAGCTCAGTGCTGTAAAATAAGCAAATCAAGTGCCTAATCATTTTGCCGAGTTTCTCCGCATCCTCAATCAAGTCGTCCTCTTTGTGGTTACAGTAAAAATGTCAACTAAAGTGTAAAATTAAAGGTTTGCTTCGCAGTGTATGAGCAAGCAGTTACTTCTCCCCGCAGTTAATGAATGAGGCTTTGTGAGCGAGAGGTCGTCTGACCCACTGGGAGAAGTAGCAGTCAGCTGATGTACAGTCCACTGGTCATGAGCAGCAGACAGGGCGGCCCTAGGGGGGAAACCTTCTGGCGTCGGTCCCAGAAGTCTCAGGGGATGGCTCGGTTTGGGTCCACGCTGCACAGATGAGTGGAGAGACTAATGTAGTTTGGCTTTATTTTTTGGGAAAGGAAATTCACAGAGAAAACAGGAAGTGTGTTTTCAAACAGAAAGTTTAATGAAGAGTGAACATGCACACACACAACACACTTTCCTTTATATTGTTATCTTCCTCACTCATTTCCTTTTCTCTTTATTCTAATCACTCACTCACTGCAAGTCATAAACCACAAGATCCTTTTTTTATGTTTGTCGTTACCTGTTTTATCAGCTAGTGTGGTTATTGCTGCACATGCTGATCGTCCATTTCGCCTTCTCTACCACATAAACTTCAGCATATGAAAGCTGGCAATGCTTTTATGAAGTGAACACACAGTATGCTTGGCTGAATCACTGTTGTGTGTGAATACTGTTGGTGATTAATGAGAAGTCACATTAAGCTGCAAAATCCTTTACACACTTGTGATTATAGTGGTTTGAAGTTGCTCTAACACTGTAGCGTATTAGATAAATCCAGTAAAAACCACATCGAATGGAGTTTCTCTGCCCACTCCAGCACTGTCTGACAACAACAAGACGAGTGTCGTACAATGGAGTCATTGTATGAGCAGTTGGACTGAGAGTTATACAATGTGGGCACAGTGCTTCGATGCAGCCAGCTCTCCTCATGCCACAGTAATACAACATTTGCTCACAGAAAAATATTTGGCTAAATACATGGTTTACTCCCCGAAACCTTGCCCTTTGCTGTCTGTCACAGTATGACAGATCTGACAGATTCTTGCGAAAACACAGCCCTATGTCTGTCTATGGGCCACTTCACAGCCTACGTCTATGTGACATAGGTGTCGTCCACCCATGTCTGCGAAGGACCCCTGTGCAGACGTTTGCATGCAGCCCGCTTTTTGTGACCATGTGGACTGTAAGCATAGAAAGCACGCTGACTGCGCATTATGCTCCAGTCTCGCGCTTCACACTCCAGTCCAGTCCAAAACACTGCTGTCGAGCCACCTGCACTCACCACTGTGAAGTTAGTTTTTTTAGTTAGATATCATATTCCACAGACTGTCACTCCGGACCCAGCAGCATCTTCTTAGTTTTACTTTCACTGGGCGCTGGCAATAGAAGGACAGTAAGCTCACCTCCCAGCCGCCCCGTTTACTGCCTGGATCCGAAGCCGGCCGTCAGTTGTACAGTGAAAAGAGCCCCGTGCACGTTCACATCCGTGTGACCTCTGCAGACGTTCAGTCCCTAAAGTATGTACAAGCCATAAGTGTTCACGTTAGTAAAATATTTCCATGGTAAAGAAAATACAGATATGTTGATACCCTGACAGATGTGCAACACTTACAACAAAACCAAAGTCTGCCTCTATAATGTGAACAAAAATAGGACATATAGCACCAAAGGTAAAACCCTCTTGGTCTTCATTAGGGTTTGTAAAACTAGTGGTGATACATGTTTGGTTTTTTTTTTTTTTTTTGCATTTAGATCTCTGTGAAGTACCATTGTCATTTTTTCCATTTTGTGACACACATCCTATTGTTGCTGGCCAACTATTTCATGTGAACTGTGAGTTTACCAGTTCAGGATGTGGTGGACTGTCACGCACTTCAATGATTGACTCATTCTGCTGTCAACACAGAAACAAATTTGGTTGAATTGCTAAATATTATATCCAAGGTGGTGCAGTGGTTAACATTGTCGACTTGCAGCCAGAAGGTTCCTGGTTTGTGCGTGGGGTGAGGGGTTCAAACCCTGGGGTAGGGAAGCCCCTCTGTATGTCAGCTCTCCCTGTGTCAGTATGGGTTTTCTCCAGGTACTCCAGCTTCCTCCCACAGTCCAAAGACAAGCAGGTTAGGTTGATTGGTGACTCTAAATTGGCCGTAGGCATGAATGTTTATCTCTATGTGTCAGCCCTGTGATAGTATAGTGACCTGTCCAGGGTGTACCCCACCTCTCACCCAGTGTCAGAAAAGGATACGTTTTTGGACAATAATGGAGCTCTATGGCACAGAGGAATAAGATATTACGACATGAAGATATTAAGATATACTTGTTAGTTGATACATTCATTGTTGGTGTCGGCTTTTCATTGGATTTGTTGATGAAAAATATTCAACATCACCGGACTGATCTGTGAGCAATCTGTGAACCTCTGGCCTAATTTGAACTCCTCACTTGAAAAGAATTAATCCAGTTTCATTGAGTTTATTAGCAGCTAATGCAGTTTGTTCCAAAGAAGGTTTCCAAGTATTATAGAGAGTGAGTCTTGAGTTAAGGACACTTTCCAAACACAGTCACAAGCATTTTGTTGACTTTTGGTCACCACAGTCTCATGATCCTTATCATAAGCTCAGCCATGGAAATGTTACTGTCTTAATGTGTTAATAACACAATAATTCATGGAACAAAGGACCAAGAGTGTTGTGATGTTTTCAGAAGAGAAAATATTTTGTGTAATCACTGGTTGGCAGAAGATTGTCTCGCCATTTTTGTCCAGACTGAATATCTCATCCACTTTTGCCTCGATTGCTGTGAAGTTTTGTACAGATATTTATGGTCCTGAAAGGAAGAAGCAGCCTACTGATCCCTTGACTTCTCCTCTAGTGCCACCATGAGCTTCACATTTGTGGCTACTGTTGGATACATTGTGGTGAAATTTGTCAGAGACATCCATGTCCCCCTCAGGATGAATTGTATTATCTTTGGCGATTCCTCAATTTGTCCGTTCCTGTGACATTTCCTTCGACCTCAGCTGTACTTTCAGTTTAGCGCTAATTAGCACTAGCTGTTAGCATGCTAGACTGCCAAACTAAGATGGTGAACATGGGAAACATTACACCGGCTGCTACAGGTCTGCATATTAGCATTGTCACTGAGGCCATGTTGCCATGCTAGCCTCTGCTTTACCCCTCTCTATTGTGGACCCATTTTTGTCTTTTTTTAGGGAGGGGGGGCAGGGGATGCTTATGGGGAGATAGCAGGTCAACAGTGGATGCCACACCAAAGTGGTATACATCATTTGAAAGCTGAGAACCTGAGGCTTTATATGAGATCAGCTCAGGACAGTGTGTCAATTTTGTTAAGTCATAAATCTGTAAAAAGCATTGTGTTTGGGTTTGAGAAATATTCAACTACAAGAAATGAAAATATTACCTTTGTACTGCATTTGAAAAACGGCATGGTTTTTGCCCAAAAACGCATAGGACAAGCATTAAGTGGGCATGTCTGTAAAGGGGAAACTCATGGGTACTCAAAAAACCCATTTTCATTCAGATATCTTTAGGTGAGAGGTCAAGGGACCTCTATGAAAATGGCCATTACAGTTTTTCCTTTCAAAATTTAGCCCTTCCTTTGGGGTGTTTTTTAGCCGCCTTCATGACATCTTTAAACTCAAAACTGATCCCACTACAGCCTCTAAAGGACAGTAATGTCACCCGAGGACACTGGTGGCGTAAAAGGGGTTTAAGTGATTTTGATTGTACCATTTTTATGTTTATGTTTATTTTCTTGTGTATTTTCCACTGACAAAATGTTGTTTGTGTTTGGTTTAGATGCCAGGCCTGGGTCTCTCTCTGACAGCAGTGGACTCGGGCATCCTGTCGGCTCTCCAGCCGGGCCAAGCGTCCCTCTCCTTGTTCCTGTCTTCTCCTGATGGTGACAATGTGTCGGGCACCGGGGTCATCCTGCCGTTCTCCAGCATCGGTACTTCTTCTTAAACTCTCTTCTGTGTGATTACATAAGGCCATTAAAAGACATGTCCGTTTTCTTCTCTTCTGATTTGCCTCGGCCTGAATGTTGCATGAGAAGTCAGAAACAGGGAAGTTGCAGCTTCTGTTAATTAAAACTGTTTCTGCATAGTAACTTGCGCCACAGGCTAAAAAAACACTCATCTGAACGTGATTTCGTCTTGAGGAAGCTCATGCTGACGATGAGTGAGCACAGGCGTTGATTGTGTGTGGTTTCTCATATGCCTTTCAAGGGTGTTAAAACACCCTCACAGCCAGTCGCCAGTCATCCTGACATGGCAGGGTGCCATTAAACCCGCAGGGGAGTGTTTTTTGTCTTCTCTTGGCTGAACATGTCGATACAGCTCCTAATAAATAAATCTGTCCTCTTTTAGATCCGGTCCCTGGAGCTTGTAACATGGAGTCCAACCTGGACATTGACCCAAACGTCTATATCCACTACAACCTCTACGAGACCACGATCAGTTTTGGACCAGCAAACTTAGGATATGAGAGGTAACACATTAGACTGATTAGTTTTGCTTGCTCAACTTCCTGTTCAGCCTGTTTAACTGTAGGCAGCAGCAACTCAGTGCTCACATCGCATCTGCCAGAACCAGTAATCAAACTGCCTCGCTGTTTATTTGTTTGGAGATGCCCTTGTGCTCTCCCTGTCACACACACATACACACACAACCTCCTCCTCCTCCGCTGTGGCTGGTAGTACTCGCTTCATTTTCTCAAGAATGTCTGTTATGTCTCACAAAGCCGTCTCGGGGCAGAGAAACAGAGGACTCGTTCACTTGTTAAATCATTTCCTGTTGTGTCATTACCTGCCAGTCTGTGGCAGCACAGACTCCTCTGTTTAGAAAACTCTAGTCAGGTTTTATCTGAGTGGTTAATACTTTTGAGGAAGAAAAGCTTTCTGCTCGCAGTTTTCAGTTCTTTATCACAGTTACTGTTGTGGTTTGGGAAGAAATAGCTTCAGGGATGTTGTGCCAGAATACGACGATTTATACCAAATACCAAACTGCATGCATAAAATGTGGCAAATTACATTTTCAGCTCATTTCCAACATTGGTTTGGACAAATACTAGTGACTTCGTTGATTGTCTTTGGTTGCCAGTCAGTTAATTTCAGTTAAAACTGGACTTTGACTTGTCTGACTGGTGTCATGTGTTATTACATCAGATAAGGATTCCACATGATGACCACACCTGTCATGCTTTCTGATTTCCAAACCTGAGCTGTGTTACACTTGCACAGTCCATACAAAATGTAACAGTCATATGTATTTACACTGAAAAAGTGACAAAATTAAGCATGCTCAGAGAAGATACCTTCAAAAAGTTGTAGATTTGTAATGAAAATGTGTTTTCCTTCAATGCACCTGATGGTATTTAGTTGAATGGCTGCATTTATATTATTATCGCTCTATTATTATATCATATAATCTTGGGATTGAGCTGCCCACCCTGTGATTATTGGGTGACCCCTGTGTGCAGAGACACTTTCAACTTTTTGAGGACACAAATATAAATGGATTAAAGTAGATATCTTAAAAAAAATCACAGTAATAATTGACCTTGTTTGCAGCTCAGTCTATAATTCCAAATTCAAAACTCTTGATCAAGTCTGCAGCCGTGCCCACTGTTAAGGCTGTTTACATCAGTGTTGTGTTAAACTTCCGCCCTTTCAACAAGCTAAGGCTGTACTGAATGTCTTTTTTTTTTTTACTATTTGAGGCTTCAGTTGAGGTTTGTGAATGACGCTTCAATTGTCTGTCATTAATCAAGATCCTTCTTTCTTTATGAATAACTGTAATAAATGTGGCTGCCAGGTTGCTGCTAGACTCCCCCGTTAGTACAGGTGTGTGTCTCGAGCCTCGAGTTTGGCATTTCATCTGTCGCAGTCTTGGTTCTCTGTAGCCAGAAGTGACTGTGACTGCATCTAAATGTCCACCCTCTGGACTTGAGGACTGAGCCATGCAGACTTCAGTTGTACATTTTGTGACGAGTTCATCGTCATCACTTTAAGTCTGTGAGGGCAACTGTTTTACTCGTTGCCATGGAAACGTTCGAGCGACGATGACAATCACTGTAATTGGTGTCATATTCTGTCTGCTCATCTGTCCCTGCAGATAACAAGATATAAGTCTCATGTGCAGGGTCGTTTTGTGAGTGAACAAAACAAATTTCTGTGTAACTTATAGACTGCAGATACAGATGTTTGTTAATAACAACTGGGCTATGACTAAATAAATTGGGTAGACCCATTAGTTACATCAGAAGATCTTGTGTTGCCACTTTTCGAAGCCTCTAACCTTAAGCCTTAATAAACTGTAAACGGGTAAGTTATTAAAAGAATTATGAATGTTGAAATTAGCTATGGAATCAAAACCAAATGTTTGTACTAGGCTGTAAACACGTTTATTAAAAAAAAGAAATAAATACTATTTTGGTCCAACTCTTAACAGATGCATGCATGAAGCAGGTGTGTACCTCCGCTCTGTCAGCGCTAAGTCTCTGGTTGTCAGCATTCACACATTCAGTCCACAATGGCAGCTCACATAGGGCACCGATAAACCACAGAGTTACAAAGAATGACACGAACATTATCCGATTATGTCAAGTTTCGGTTTGAGTGTCTTCACACTTACTCTCTCACTCTCAGCACTTTCAGTCTCTCACTCTTCTTATGCGTGTTCTGTCTCACCTTTCTGACTCTATTCAGTGTGTGGGTTAAATGACATTTAACCTTGAATATCTTTAGATGAAGTTTCCATGCACAGTAGAGACACTTGGTTACCAAAGCCAGGACTGTTGTTATCTCATTGAGTATCTCAAAGGCACTAAGACTTTCATTTACTGTAAATCACACTAGAGAAGAGTCTCAGACAAATTATTATTCTAACTGAATCTAACAGATAGGTAGTTTGATTTGTCCTGACTGTCCTTGCTCTCCATCAGGGGAGAAGCTCCACCAGCCTGCGACAAATCAACAGACACCAACACGCGTTGGCGGCTGCAGTACGACATCTATCAGTACTTCCTGCCTGAGAATGACCTATCGGAGCGCAGCCTGTTCAGTGGCATTCAGGCTGTGGCCGACATTCGGGGCATGATGGAGAATGGCAAACGGGTGGGGCACCAAGAACCCAGTCATTTACTTTTTTTTAAGTGCTTATGTTCCATGTTTAGATGCTACATGAGAAAACACGTTTAAGGTGGTAATGACAAATAACAGAAATACAACAGCTTGTGTGCTGCTTGCTAAGTCTTCATCTCCTGTCTCCCTGCAGGTCATGACACTGTCATCTTCAGAGAAGACCATGGCAATGTTCAACTCAATCCCCGGTCAGGGCGTCATCTACTCAGTCATCGTCAGAGACCCGGTGTTGAACACCTCTGCCTCCTACGTCCCCGTCCACACCTACGCCTGCAGCTTTGCTTCCACTTTGGACGGCTGTCAAACCCTCGGTGAGCTCCTGTGTGGGCCAGATACTGAACGTGTTATTCTCCAGACCTGTTACGGGTTCATTGCATTAGTTGGGTTTATTCATTTCTTTGCTTTCATCATGCACTAAACAAAAATGCTCTCAGTTTTTGTATTCTTTGTTCACCATGAAGGCACGTGAGATAAATGAACTTTTCTTTATGAATTTAACTTAACATGGGATGAGTTATTTATATACAAATGATTATTTCGAGGGTGAAGAATTCATTTAACAAATTGATTGATAAATCATATTGTATTATTCAAATCTTCAAGTTAAGAACAGCAAGAAATCTCCCAAAAAAGGCGAGTTGAGTTAGGTAGGTTGTCGGCAGTGTGGGCTCCAGATAAATACAGAACTAGCAGAAAACGTATTGCAGAGGCAGGGAATGCTAGGAGAGAAGGTTTGACCTTTAGCTACTCTGCTTTGAACACATTAAATGATTCATATTGTTATTTATTTTTCAGGAAAAGTATCTACAAAGGTTTTCTTCACCATTGCTGGCTTGGCAGGCCTGTTCGTCTGCTTCTTTGGGCATCGGTTCTTCAAATGTGGTGAGTAGTTTGACATCCCTTTATGTGACGAAGATCTCATTATTATGCTTAACCAGAGTGAATTAAAATTGTGGTGATGTTAGCTTTACTTTATTTGTGATATAGTTATTTTTTTATCCAACAATACAGAAGCAGTAGTGGAATCTATGAATGTGATTTACTCAGAGGTCATTTGAAGTCCAAGAATCCAGCGCCTTATGCTTAAAAATATAATATGTAACATTTCCCCATTAAAATGTCTAAAACTGATCAGACTAATGTTACATATTTTGTTGAGCTGTGTACCAACATTATCTCAAACATTTCCAACAATTTTCAGACCCAGAGAAATCTGTTATTTCAATTAAAGACACAGTCGGTGTCATTTGGTCACTGTCGCCTGTCAGTGGTATCGTATACCTTTACCTTCTGTGTCAGGGTTGTGGTTATCTGCCAGAAGCTGTCATAAATGGACTTTTCATCCAGTTTTAAGCCAAATTTACACAATACACTTTTTAGATCTTGGTTATTTTTAACTATATGTTGTAACTGGTTGAAGGATTTTAGCAATCAGATGTCTGGATCTTCAGTTATCAGAGAAACAAGCTAAGAAAACGGTAGCAGCAGCTTGGCTCCAGACCCTGCTGTGCTAAACAGTGTTGGAGAAACACTGATTTTTACTTTACTTTACTTAAGATTATTTTTTCAGGCTTTTTGCCTTTAGTGGACAGGACAGCTAAGCATGAAGGGGGGAGAGAGATAGGGGGAATGACATGCAGCATAGGGCCGCAAGCCTGAATCAAACCCAGGCTGCTGCAGTGAGGACCGAGCCTCTGTACATGGGGCGCCTGCTCAGCAACCCTCTGTTGTGATTGAAACTAAAAGTTATGTCTCTCCTGAACTTTTCCAGACACAGTTCACTGTAGGGTCAGCAGGATAGATTAGTGAGGTCAGAAGTTATGTTTGTGAGTCTGGAACTTCCTCACAGGAACAGAAAAATGACTCGGGAAGCAAAGGTCTGGTGTGGTGCTGAAACAGCACGACGAAGAGGTGTGGATACTTTCACTTAATCCCATGTAGTTTTTGGTTGCAAGTAAAACTCAGTTCATCGGGTGTGGCGTCTCTCATGTGGCCTCCCTGGCATGTGATGCAGAAATGTATTTGTTCCAAAGTGAACCCATGACTGTGATCTGCCACCGCAATCAGTAGCTCCTGATAGATGCAAACGAGCCAGATGATATGATGCAGGGTGTTTATTCTGGAGCATGTTATTTCATCCTCCTCCAGCAGCTGAATTTTCACGAGGATTTTTGTGAAGAGTGATCAGACTGACATGTCTGTCCTGGTTCTCTGAATAAAAGCCTGTGGTGTGTCACTGTGTTTTATTTACTCTCTCTGTTCCTCTGTGTTCTCCCTTTCTGTCTCTTGTCATGCAGAGATGTTTTGCATGGGATTTAGCTTTGCAGCGTTTTTCTTCTTCGTGCTGATGAAAAGGACGACAGACCTGGACTATGACAGTGAGTTTTTTTCCACTTGTATCATTTGCAAGGCTTTCTGTTTGTTCAAACTGAAAAAAAAGCTCCAGGCTACATTTCATCCTGGAGTAGGAATCCTTTGGACTGATGTGTGTGTCTGTCTCTCTCTGCAGTCTGTCTGGCGGTGTCAGCAGTGATCGGCGTGGTGGGCGGGGTCCTCCTGGTGATGAGCTGGTGGCGTTTCGGCTCAGTCATGGCCTGCATTGTCGTGGTTGGATTGATGCTTGGCTTCCTTGTCGCCTCCACCGTCCTCTTCACTCCTCTCGGTAGGTAACAGATGCTGTCTGGTCACCTAACATGACCCGAGTCAACCTTGTTTTGTGTTTTTTTTTTTTTGTGGGTATGATGTCAGTGGCTCTTAAAGAGGCAAAATAAAAAAGAAAAATTTTTACACAATACATTCGTTTTCAGTCTAGATTGTTTCTAGATGACCCGGTTACTCAAGATAATTCACAGACCTTGTTGTGAGCAGTTTCATGTAGGATCTATTTTCTTTCTGCCAAAGTACACCTGCCAACTGTAGCACCGCGCAGAAGAAGCGTACATGTCCTGCTAGCTCACCTAGCACCAGTGAGCTAGCTAATGTTACAGCTTAGTCAAAGCAGACACCATTAATGTTTACATCTTGTGCTGTCAGAAGCTCGAGCCTCTCTTCCATGAGTAGATGCACACTTCCTTCTGCACAGTGATACAGCAGCTCACACCAAAATAATCAAGATTGCTAAATAGTGCTACAGGTTAAAGGATAGAATATGTATTTTTGACTTTGAGGTGACCTGTCGCTTTAAACACTGTTCTATATAATATATACTGAGTGTGTTCCTTATATATATCTGTGTGTCTTTGTTCAGGTGACCTTGATGTGTTCAGTCGCTCAGATGTGGTTTTCTGGGTGACGTTCTGCTGCATCATGCTCATGGTTCCGCTCATCTTTGTGCGTTGGCCCAGAGAGGTAACAGATTTACCATGTCAACCCACTCACTCCAGTGTGTGTAGGATTCAAGATCTTCACTTTGGCGTCATCTAGTGGTAGAATGAAGAATGACACTGTGATTGGCAGCACACTGAATGATTTGGAATATGGTATAATCACATAAAGATTCTACATATGGTGACTTAAAGATGGATTCAGTGATTATGGAGAAAGATTGTTGATATGTGAACTCAACACCCAAACCAATATGCCCCTTCTGTCTAACCAGAAGCTCTGGTAAAATCTCCGATGTTACTTACATTTTATTACTGTCATGGTGGCCAGCATAGTGTCGTGTGGCTTTGTCCGAGTCACTTTGTTTCACATTTACAGAGACAGGGTTGTGTATGAACACCAGATTTAGTGTTAGCACACACACAGAGGACAGACAACTAACGTGACACTTGAAAAAAATGTATTCGATTAGGATTGCTGATCGTACCTTTACCAAAGTGGGAACAAAAAGGGGCACAAGTAATTGTGAAAAAATTTCAACAGTACCTTGAACCTATAGGCAGATGAAACTTGAAAGACTCTTTTTCACAGAAGAAATAACATGACGTAACACAATCGCAATCACAAGGTGGTCAGATATACACCACATCCACTTTTCCTTTAAAGGTATATGATGCAGGAATTGTTGGTTACGTTTGTAAATGCAACATTCAAACTTGGCCCCTCTTCCCACCACTCCTTGTACGTACTACTGTAAATACTGTTACAACTGTTACATTTGTTGTAATGGGAAAGTTATTGTCAGCGCAGTCTTATGTTGAAGTATTTGCCTGCAAATGACCATTATTAGAGTTTTTTGTTGAGCTTAAGCAAAGATGCTTTCCAGCAAACTAAACACCTCATTGGAAATAAAAAAGAAAGAATAAAAAACAATGTTTTTCTTATTTAACTTGACTAAGTCTGATGTTTTTTATGTTTCTTTCAGGGAAACATCGTCACATGTGGCGTCGTCGGGGCTTATGCTGTAGTTCTGGCTGTCAACGCCTACATTTACACCAGCCTGTCCTTCATCACACTGAACATCCTCAAACGCTTCCTCAACAACAACTACAGTGCAGTGTTCACTGACGTGCCCTTCCAAACCATTGGTGAGTTCACAACTGAAGTCTCTCACTGACGCTATCAAATGTTTGGGTTTGATCTTAACACATCTTGTCTTTTTGTCTCTTCCTCCCCTTCCGTCAGACTACGCCATGATCACGGTGTGGGTGGTGCTCGGCGTCTGCGGCATCGTCCTGCAGCTGTACCGTGAGCGCTCCCGCCCGTTCTTCCCACCGAGCCCGTACCTCATGTGGCTGCAGGAACGCGAGCGCCGCGAGACCAACGTCCTCGACCCAAGCCACCATTTCCCCTCGCTGCCCAGCCGCCTCTTGGCCCGAGCAAAGCAGCTCACCAAGAAGACAGAGGTGGCTGGAGAACACACACCTCTGCTCCTTTAGTCGCCCTCACCATCTCTGTCTATAAAGGCAGATTAAACATACAGTCGGGGTCTGAACCAGAGACTAGGAGATCCCTGTGATGCATTTTTGATCCGGAGGAATACTGTCCGTTAAAACTGGTGCTGGGACATGACCCCAGATCAGCTGATTGAAAGACATTCTCAGTTGAAATGCAGCACAAATGACATCAAGAGGGATTATATCACTGACACTCTAAAGGTGGACCAGAATTTTTAAAAGCATTTGTACAAGACTAACTTTTTTTCCCCTGAACGCCACTTTTATTTTACACTTAAAGGAGCAGTATGTAGGATTCAGTGACATCTAGTGGTGAGATCGCAGATTGCAACCAGCTGAATACCCTTCCGAATACTCGCTACAGTGGCCTTCATGTGACATAAAAACACAAAAGGCCCTCTGTAGAGCCAGTGTTTGGTTTGTCCGCTCTGGGCTACTGTAGAAACGTGGAGGTGCAACATGACTAACTCTGTGGAAGAAGACTATGTAGATGTGATGTGCTCTTATTTTCAGGTGATTGTACACTAATGAAAACATAGTTGTGAATATTATATTCCCTTTTCTGCCAATAGATCCTCCTTAATCCTACACACTGGACCTTTAAATGACATCCTAACAATCACTGAAGCTGTTCAAGATGAACTTAAGAATTAGCTTTGAATGTCTAAAATGTAGCTGTCGATGCTTTATGGTGTCTGTCGCTTCCTGCACTAAAGTCACAAACTACTAACAGTTAACAATGCAAGGCATGTTATCTGTGGACACTTTGAATTTTGTTGTAGTTGTAAAGTGCACCCTCAGGCCACACTTGAGTTATGAATACTGTGTACCTTAGATATGATATAAAACTTAAAACACACTGGATCCTCTCAAAATCAACAGATAATTAAACTAAATTCTACATGTGCCATTTAGCCCTGAATGTCACAATCATGTTGGGGTCACACAGGTCAGTGCACTGAGGATAAAGGGCACAAACAAGCAACAAAACAAAAACTGACAAAGTACACAATATTGCAGAGTTTTTAACCCCTTGCACAGAATAAGGAACGCACAGTATTTTCTCTACCTTTAGTGTGTCAGGACAGATGTTTTCACCTCTTGCTCTCTCGTGTCTCTGACTGGACCACACATCTCAGTCCAGTCAGTCTCTTTTTGTAATTTGCACACTGGATTTTTTAATATATGTAATTGTTTCTGGCTTTAACGGTGCTGATTGATTATCTGTTAATAATCTGTGAAGGTTTTTTAAACTGCCGCCTGTGTGCCATGACTCTTTCTCAGGGTTTCATGAACAGCTTTGAGACCACAATGCACTGAGACTACTGCTGAAACCTGCGACTTTAAGCCTGTAAATGTCTGCCAGTATTTTATTTAGCCACTTTCTAGTATTGTGACTTTTTAATAAAAGCCAAAACAATATGTTGTCATGTTTGTGATAAATAATGTCACTAGTCATTTGTATTTGAACATGTTTTGATATTTAATAAATGCCTACAGGCGAAGGCTTTCTGATATCTCTTCTGGTTATGATGTGGATGTTGGTTATGGAAGCCCTTTTCTACCAGTGTGATGACAAAACAAATAATCCTGTATCTCAAAATAACGACTTAGTGCCTCAAAATAATAACTTGGTATCACAAAATAAGGACTTGGTGTCTTATAATAATTACTTTTGTCTTTCTAAATAATGACTTGGTTTCACAAAATAATGACTTGGTATCAATATAATGTCTTGGTATCACAATATAATGTCTTGGTATCACAAAATAATGACTTGGTATCACAATATAATGACTTGGTATTACAATATAATGACTTGGTATCACAAAATAATGACTTGGTGTCTCAAAATAATGACTTGGTATCTCAAAATAATGACTTGGTGTCACAAAATAATGACTTGGTATCAATATAATGTCTTGGCATCACAATATAATGTATTGGTATCACAAAATAATGACTTGGTATTACAATATAATGTCTTGGTATCACAAAATAATGACTTGGTATCACAATATAATGACTTGGTATCTCAAAATAATGACTTGGTATCTCAAAATAATGACTTGGTGTCACAAAATAATGACTTGGTATCTCAAAATAATGACTTGGTATCACATTCAGTGTCTTAAACTGACCTGGTATTACAGAATAATGACTAGGTGTCACAAAATAATGACTTGGTGTCTAACAGTGACTTGGTATAACAAAATAATGACTTGATATCACAAAATAATGAGTCAGTATCTCACAATAACTTGGTATCAACTTTAATGATTGATTTGATATTTCAAAATAATGAGAATCAATACAAAGTCATTCTGAGAAAGTTTATCATTATTATTAGACACAACGTTTTTATTTTTGTGAAGCCTTTCTCATTATTATATCTTTTATTATGCTGCCATACTAAATCATTATAGAAGAGATGAATAATTCATTATTTTTGAAGAAGTGTTTCATTGTTTTGAGACATTAAGTCATTATCTTGAGGCAGTGTTATTAAAATGACTTACAGGATCTTTGTTTCGTCACGTTGGCATACATAAGCCTCCATAAATTGTGTATATAATAGGTCGTTTCAACAGCAGACAATTTGACTTGTCATGTCAGAAAGAGCACAGTTACAGCAGCTAAATGGAATTCAGCCATCATTAATTTCGTTTTTTACACCTGTGCTTTTCGAACTGTGACAGATTGAAGGTGAAGCAAAGTTTTGTTTTACTCTCATCTCTTTGTATTTTAACACAAGTCACAGCATTTAACAGACTCAACCCCACTGCAGGGTTTCTTTAGAGCCACTAGGGTGCAGCAGAGCACAACAGGTGATGTTTGGAGGACTTGTGTTACTAAAGGATCTGCTCTGCACACCATCTCAGATGATTTCACTTATTCTGTCTGATTAGACCTCTGCTCAGTTTGATGATGGTCAGAGCTACGCTGGCAGCAATGTGACTTCACTGAATCAATAACATATGTTTCACAAAAGTTTAATCCAGAAGGTCCTCTGATGAGTTGTTCTGCTTTCTTGTCTATGTTATCCCTGTCACTCCAAAATAATTTGCTACCTGAATAGATGCCAAGAGTGATGATGATGTTTCAGGGAAATACTGAATCATCTCTATTTCATTTTTCAGTGAAAGCATGAAGAAAGAAAAGTATGTTTTTCATCAGGCCCATCAAGCTGCCACAGGAGGATCAGACTCCTCTAGTCATGAATCCATAGATCACTGGTTTCCAACTGGTGGGTCGCGGTCCAAAAATGGTCCGTGGGTCCATTCTGAATGGACCGCAGCTGACTCATGAACATGTTATGTTTGTAATAAACAAACTTTGTAGTGTCTATAAAATGGTAGTCATATTTATTTTATAGTAAAATATAACAGGAACTGTTGCAAATTATATAGCATAAGACATACAGTATTTTAAATTTCTGATATAACACCAGTTTATACAGTGTAATGTAGCACGATGCATGTATTTGTATATTTATACACACTTACACACTCAGCACAGTGAAGATATATAATTCAGTCTCAGGGATGTTTTATTTACTGTTATGTATTGTTTATTCATTTATTAACTTATTTCTTTTAATGGCACAAGGATAATATACACTATCAAAATTCTGGTAAACAGTGGTGCAAGTGATAGAAACACATATAAAGAACATCAAATGGGAGTCATTTACTTTTCTCCATGGTGACCAAATGTAACGACAGCTCCTCTTACCGCTTCAGAGAGGAAGTTTGTCCCAAAGCTTGCCTGTGTTTACACCCAACATCTTGATGTAGGGAGCTTCATGAGCTGTGAAGGTGACTACAAATGCAGTGACACTCCTTGACAGAGTGGGAGTGGGTAGGGTCCGGTTTTGGAACGGCCCACAATGTTACCTTAAATTTGTGAAGAAATTTTTTTTTTTGCATGCCATCACAGTGAACAAAAAATCCAGAAACGCAGAAAATTCTTCATGAATTGAAGTCACAGGGAATTGTGTTCGCCAACAGCAAAAATGTCAAAACATCTGTTATGCATAGACAGTCTCAGGCACGGACAAGTAGCATGCCTGCGCTGTTTGTGCTGAAGGTTTTAGCAAAAATGAATGTGTTTGGGAAGTACTGAACATTCGACTGGATAAACGAGACTTGGATTATACTGCACGAGTTGTGTGAGAGTTTGTAAAGAGATGTTTTGATATAGTTTTGCCTCTCTGAAACATGGCCCCCATTATACTCCAATTCATTAAGAATTTTCTCAGTTTTTGGATTCTTTGTTCACCAATGACACATGCTAGAAAAAAGTTTTCATCAAGAATTCAGCATAACACAGGGTGAGCAACTGATATACAAAAGATCATTTGGGAGGTGACGTGTTCCTTTAATTGCTCTAACAACCTTATGCTTCATTTATATTTAATTTTTCATTACTTAGATGTATTTGGTTTTTTGGTCTGCAGCCTAAAACAAAAAGATATGAATCTTTTTTATCATCCTTGACAATTTTCTAACATAATCCCTACCAACTACACTCTCTAAATCTCCAGATATTATGTAAATTGTTCCACTGATGTACTTTTCTTATTCTTCATGGCACAACTTACTCCTACTCTGTGCTTTTTATTGCACAGGTTTGCAATAAAGTTGCAGTTTTCCTCTGTGTGTGCAAGTAAACACTAGTTAGCCATTAGCATGTCACCTGTAGTTAGCATCATTACACATTCCTCTACATATTGCTAAGTACCTGTGTTGCTTTCTTTGTTTTTCCCCAAAGTCTGAATTCTTAGAGGAATTATTTAGGTATTCAGGCTAAGAGTTTTAAGGCTTTAGAAACAAATCCTCCAAAAACATTTGAAGCAACAACTTGCAACAGCATACCATGTTAGACAAACTCCGCTTAGCCGAGATAACCTTTAAAACACTTGTCCATTTATTGATCAAAATGACAAAAGGTAGCTGGAACAAGAGACACAATCGACAGAAGCAACATTCAAATTCTGACAAACACGGCGGTTTCTGTAAAGTGCCATACAAGAAACAAAAGCCTCACTGATAATATATATACTGTATATACTCACACATACACAAACACCACATAGAAAACTAGATTTTTAATACACACAAACATTAGAAACCATATAAAAACACGTCTATACAGAGTCGATTCTGCTCTGAAAGGGTTTTTAGAGTCTGTTAAAAAGAAAAGAGGCGTTTGATCAGTAGTTCATCTGCGACTCTGGATTCCTTTCTCTGAGGAACCAAAGTCATGAGTGCTCGTACACACTGTGCAATTTTCATCAGTAAAAACC